CGATGGGAGCCCTGCGTCTGCAGGGGCGCGCACAGATGTGCACGGAGCCGCTCCGCTGCCGCCGGCGCGGGGACCCCGCGCAGCGAGAGGGCGCAGGGGACGCTGTGGCAGCTGGCGCCGCCTCGGTCTTTTTTAAAAAACATATCCTTTTTTTTTTTTTTTCAATTTTTTCTTTTTTAATTTTTTGCCCGCGGGGGGTCGCGCCGCCGCTGCCCCGGTCGCGCCGCGCTGCGCAGGTAGCGGCGAGGAGGCTGCGGGCGGCGGGGGCAGGGCCGGCCCGGGGCACGTCCCTATTGGCCGTTACGGCCAACGGCCCGCGGCGGCCGTTAGTGCGCGCGCACGCTCGCCCGCGCCCTCGCGCGCCCCCCCGCCCGCCCCCCTGTCACTGACTTTCTTTATTTTAGTTGTGACAGCTCCCGGGAGGATGCTCGCAGGAGACGCTGCCCGCCCGCCCGCCGCCGCCGCCGCCATGCGCCCCATGGGGGACTGAGCACCCCCTGCCCGCCCTCCCTCCTTCCCCTCGCACCCCCACCCCCGCCACCATGAACACCAACGTGTGCGTGGAGAGCGGCCCCAACCCCGAGGCGCCGGGGCTGCCCAAGGACAGCCACCTGCCCGAGGGCGCCCTGGGCAGCCTAGTGGATTACAACTCGGAGATGGAGCGCTACCGCTCCTTCGCCACCTTCTACAAGACCAACGGCGGCGCCTTCCCGCAGGCGGCCAAGATCGCGCGCATCACCACCCCCATCTTCCCCAGCGCCGCCGCCGCCGCCGCCGCCCGCATCGGCATGTCCCCCTGGAACTGCGACAGCGCCACGGCCGCCGCCGCCACCGCCATGCTCTGGGGCAGCGGCGGCGGCGGCGCGGCCGGCGCCGCCAGGAAACCCTCCTCGGCCGCCGCCGCCGCCGCCTCGTCCGCCGCCGCCTCCTCGCTGCACGCCGGCAGGGGCAGCATGCACCACCGCAGCGACTCGCAGCGGCTCGGCAAGCCGGGCTGCGCGCCCGCCGAGCAGCCCGCGCTGCCCATGCCCAACAACAACTTCCTCTCCACGCTGGCGCCCGAGCACTGCCGGCCGCTGCCCGGCGACTGCATGAACAAGCTCAAGTGCGGCGCGGCCGAAGCGGAGATCATGAACCTGCCCGAGCGCGTCGGCACCTTCTCGGCCATCCCGGCGCTGGGCGGCCTCTCGCTGCCGCCGGGCGTCATCGTCATGACGGCGCTGCACTCGCCCGCCGCCGCCTCGGCCGCCGTCACCGACAGCGCCTTCC